TTACAATTAAAGTACGGTAACTGCATGCAACCATTTTTTTTTCTCTCAATGCATAAAGAAATTATATTTTATCGTTTCCGATAATAGAAAACACGTACGACGTTTTCTATACGAACGGAATGGTATGGTGAAGCGCGATTACCCTTAAATGCAAAATTTATTCTCAGGTTATTCTCGATCGAAAGCGATAAATTTACATGTCTTTGAATTTGTCACTTTGCAAATACGGTAAAGTACTCGATATTCAAAAAAAATACAGAATATAATCGACGAATTATTACGTCAATTTTTACATCGATACAATTTGTAATGCAACATTTACCGAAAATAAAAAATGCATCGATCAAATAGACTATCGTTTACGTTAAAAATTTAACGAAATTCTCACTGATGGGCAATTAAAAATTGTTGTACAAGGTATACGTGACATGCACGCAAATGGTTTCTAGCGAACGCATAAAGATTGCTCGTTCGGCTAAATTTAATCTCGTGGAAACGGTATTATGGCTGCCGTGCATCGCTATTTGCTCGCTGCACGTGCCATATAAAGCATGTAAGAGAGAAGTTGATCTCATATAGTGACGGAAAGCAATTTCTTTTCATTGCATAAGTGATCTTGTTCTGCCATATACCAGGAAATGCGTATCTTTGAAGTTAGACATTCTATTTTTGAAATTTTCAATTTTAATATAATTAATAGAATATTTTGATTTTCCCCGAAAATTTCTATCTTACTAATATATGTAAAGGTTCTAATAAGTAAATAAATAAGAAATTTAAAAACATATAATTATTTTTAAATTTCTGTTATTCATAAATAGCAAATTTTAAATGTGGATTGCATAATAGATAATAATTTTCAATTTTATTGAGGCAGTAGTTAGAACTTGTCAAAAAAGTCAAATTAAAAAAATTTAATTTATGAAAAGGCAACTTAATTTTCGATATTAAAAATGTGTTCCTATAGTTACATTCGAAAATAAGCAAAAAACTTTTAACAGTGTCGATAATCATGTATTTTATACTCCAATTCCTAATATGTTATTACATGTTACATGCTGCACATGACAAGTTAGATTCTTTCCTGTCAATATCAGGGAAGTGAGTGCGTACTCTACCCCAATAATAATTTAATTTGTTTAATTAATCATAAAGCGTAAAATCGTATTGGTAATTTCTATTAGCTTGAACAGAACAGTAACGTGTCCTCAATTTTCGGTCTCTTGAACGTAAATTGTATTCCGTACGATTATTTCCGCAATAAAGAAACATTTTAGTAGTTCCATTTTTAACGAAATGTATTGAATGTAACAAAACAATAAATTAACCATCGTCAATAATCTGTCAAGAACATATTGCGCATATTTTTCTCTTTCCAAAGACGAATTAAATAATTAATCGGTTAACAAATATTGAAAGATTTTATTAAATAATAGCTCGCAATGTATCATTGGCAAAAGTCGGTTTTATAACCTGCAATCTCATCGCGCTTAGTATTAGGAAGATTTAGAACGCGTGCGACGATATTTCTTCTCGCGGCGATATTTCAATAAGGCCCACATAAAGTATCGGCGCGATCTGCCGATACAACCTCCATATTCAATAGACACCTATCAGCTCTACGCAAACGACATTAAATTGTTGGTTGAAGTCCTACTTCTCCAAAAATCACGCGGAAAATTTCATTTCGAAAAATCTGTTATTGACAACATTCATTAACAAAGCGATCACTGAAATCTTGTAAAATTTTCTGAGAATTCCCGGATTTTCAAGATATTTTTGTTTAAAATTCCAGATAAAATTAGACAATTTTTTAAATGTAACTTCAAAATAAATTGAAGTGTGAGACAAACAAACTATATATTGTAAATTAATCGAAGTCAGGAACGAGACTCCCTATACACTGAGAAAAAATTCCAGACTTTATCCTTTCAAAATGTAACAAATGGATATTTTCCGATAGATTTTGATCGTATTTAGGACTATCCGATGAAATTTTAGAACTCTATCCCCGATAAAATATTAAAAAAATTTTATCCGATAATCCCAAATATGCCGGTGTGAAGTTGACACCCCATTTTGAAAAAATCGATATTTTATACACAGTTCCGTTTGCACCCACAATAGTTCTACAGTTTCTGCTAAGTTTTAACAATAGTTCCGCTGATTTAGCTAAAAAAAAAAAAATTTTATAAATGGAGTGCCAACTTCGCGTGCCACCCCAAGTATCGCAAAAATTAATTTTTATCACGAAATTCTAAAATTCTCGAAGAGTTCTACAGTTCCTGATAGGTTTCAACGACAGTTCCGGCCTCTAAGTATTTTTAAACAATTTTTTTTTAAGTGAGAGCCACCACCCCACCGCAAGAGTAAAGTACCACGTAACAGCCAGTTCCCACGAACTTTTTGCTATTTTCTTACAGTTCTACAATAGTTCTAACGCTTTCTGTAAGTTTTGCACAAAGTTCTGGCTTCTATGTATTTTTAAATAATTTTTTAATGTCAGAGCCAAAGCACCCCACTACAAGAGTAAAGTACTACGCAACAGCGAGTTTTTGCTATTTTTCTCCTAATACTAAGCGCGAAGTTGGCACCCCATTTATAAAATTTTTTTTTAGCTAAATCAGCGGAACTATTGTTAAAACTTAACTGTAGAACTATTGTGGGTGCAAACGGAACTGTGTATAAAATATCGATTTTTTCAAAATGGAGTGCCAACTCCACCCCGGCCCCAAATACGATCAAAATCTATCGGAAAATATCCGTTTGTTACATTTTGAATGGATAAAATTCAGAAATTTTTCTCAGTATATATGTATATATCTATCATTTTCTACAATTGAACAAAACCTATGGGAGAGTTAAGAAAAGATTCTCTATAACAGTACCACTGTACTACTATACTCTCTTCTATTGAGTATGTCTTGTATTGATTTTTTTTTTATAAAAATTCGCGAGATATGTAAGGAGGTACGTAAATATACACGAATGTGTACGCCATACTTGTTGCAAACCCATTATCAACATTTTGCATTATCAAAAAAAAAAACGATCAAAAAAAAAGGTATGTTAAAAAGAACAGAATAAGTAAAATTTCTAAAAATTTCCCTGATTGATAAAATTCTATGAAATTTTAATTTTCAAGGAAAAAAAATCCAAAAATTCCAGATTTTTCCAGGTTTTTTACAGATAGTAAACACCATGATTAATATTTGTATCTATTGGTGATCACGGAAAAAAAGAATATTTTTTCCACAGCTTCATTTACAACTGGACAGTTTATTGCGAAATGTTGCATCGATTGTACTCGCGGTAATAAAAAAGAGCAATAAAGAAATTAATTCAAAAATTTAAAAAAATACAAGGCGCCGCTTAATACAGCATAGGCGATGCTTACAACAAGATAATCAATGAAATAACATTGCGATCAAAAAGTTCATAAATTGTAAAACCATCTACGAGTTTTATTTCATAAATTCCACATATAGATGACAAAATCCATTTTAAATGGGAAAATTTGTGCAAATGGCACAAATGATAACACGCGTCGCGGCTACGTTGAATTTCACAACTCGCCATTTGGTTTGACCAAAATGGTAAACTCGTTATCGAAAACGCTAGAAATTTCTACGTCGGAAAATTGAACACAAACTTCAATATTGATAATTCGTGATGACGGACTATCGAACTTGTCCTAGAGTCATTTCGCAGAACGTTTCAACATATAAAAAATTTGTTTAATTAACTCGTAAACGTGTATATGTAACAGAACGTGAATTTGATTGCGGGAACCGCAATATCGACGATGGTTATACGTGATGCAAAATTATACTGACATATACTCAGAAATATTATTTGAATATACGCGAATGTTTGTCGGTAGAACGTTGCCATGTGAGACGAAAATGTGAGAAGGATTAGTTAAACGGTCAATGTTGAACTACAGTGCCGTTAACTCAACTACAATTTGGCGACTTCGTTCTCGAATGCAAGACGGCAATAAAATCCACTTTACTAAAAGCATAGCCGAGAGAATTAATTCGGGCAGACTATTACTCTCCAGCCGGATGTCGCGTCATTAACGCCTCACCATGTAGCTACTCGGTGTACTAAATTATTCGTGAAGCTGTCGCCGACCGTATGAAATAGTTGCGAACCGTACACTTCAATATCTGACTATTTCGTTATTAATATTATCGATATTAATATTATTATTCTACACTGTCATTTTTTTTTATTATATCAAATTTTTTTAATTAATTCATATAATATGCCGCACAAATTATACACTACAATTAGATGTTTCGATGTATATTCGATATACTTCCCAATTTAAGAAATTTACGATGCGTATTCTCTTTGTTAAAACAGACAATTGTTTATTTATCTTCAAGATCAATGCCATTTCGGAATATAATAAAGTTTTATTAATAAGAGATAAATGTATGATCAAGGAGAAAAGATGAAGGAATCACAACATTGTATGGACAAGAAAAAAAGATGCTATTACAATGCAGCATGTTGACCTTTAATCAGATTAGTAAGATTTCTAACCAAATCCACCAATGTAGTAAAGGATATAAGCTTACATCAAGTTAGTTATACGTTGTGCGGATATTTACAACATTTACATTTAAAACAGATTTATTAAAGTAATCAAATATATATCATATTTTATAGAAATATCTAGTAAAAAGTATAAATTAATTAAAATTAACATTATTTTACTGAGCTAAAAAAAAAATCTTAATTCTATAAAATTATGAATTATCGTTATTGTATTATATAGTTTCCTATACTGCTAGTAATGAAGAAATGAGTATATTAAATAAATATAGAATGCAGCAAATAAACGGAAACAATTCCTAACCATTGCTAGCCACATGACTGCATTTGAACGCCAGGCACGTGACTTTGTTACGAGATAACGCTACTTCCGAATTTATACGTACCTAACCTCCGCCTTAGAGACTCTGGATTCGGATTCCCTAATTAACGAACAAGGAAAGACAAAGCGCAACCGCGCTTTATCCGCCCCCCCCTCTCTCTCTCTCTCTGGCTTGTGAATGTCAAATGTAATTATAATAATTTCACATACCTGAAATATGAGACGCAAATCAAGTAAGTTGGAATAGTAGATTTATCCACAAATTTAACTCCTTGCAATCTCAATTTCTTCTCCATGCAAAATTAAGATCTAATTACTTTCTAATATAATTTATGAACAAGTTGATATAACAAATTAAATATTTTTATTAATAAAAGTAATAAGATCATTTTATCACTATATGTACTATACATCATGTAATACAATCGCTATAAAAATTAAAGCAATTTTAGAATATATTAAAAGAAATTTATTTCTGTATGCTTAATATTTTTGAAATTAGGACTTGTTTATTTCTCAAAAAAAAAAAAAGAGTTGGTTCTTTAGAATTGCTAATGTCAAAAACGACAAAATTAAAATGCGCTTTAGGATTAAAAAATTCATGAGGATAAAAAAAGCATTTTCATTATAAAAACAACTTTCTATTATATTTATGCACATTAAATAATTTCGAGGTTTATATTTTAAAAAATATGCTAAAGACTAAAAGTGAATATTAAAGGCGAATCACTGAGAAAAGTCTTCAAGAGGAAAATTAATGATACTTTGTATATGCAAAATAAAATTATGTACACATAAAGGCATACTTATCATAAATAATCAACTCCAAAATAATTCAAGAAAAAAGTAAATTATTCTTTATCCTGTATTTAACACAATCTAGGTAGCGGTGAACGATGAAGGAAATCCTGGCCGGTGTTTAAAAGCGCTTCTAAACGTCCGGCGACAAAAGGTCAAAGGATCGAATATCCAGATAGCCCGCGGTAATTTGAATACGGTAGTTTGAAATAAAAGGTCATGCGAAAGCAGGACAAAACGGATCTCTGTGTACAGACGACGTATGGCGGCTAATGGAAGCCGGAGGAGAAATCACGGGTGGAGGAAGAAGCACGGATGGGACAGGGGGAAAATCAAGGGACAGAGGGAGGACAAAAAGGGGCCGAGGGTGGATACGACGAAGCGACAGAAGAGAAGACTCGATTACACGTCACCAGCAGCCCGGAGCCTATTTGGTCGCAATCGGTTTTTCATTACCAAAAGCTTCGCCGGGCTTTATACCAAATTGTACATTCGGCGACCCCCCGTAAAACTCACCGGGATTCCGCGAACCCACCGAGTACCGGAATCGCATAATTGATCATCTCGGTGCATACATCTCGCACGCGTGCTGCCCATAATTTTTGTCGGACGCGGGATAAAAGTACACGGACCTCGGGTGCAGTTTACGTCGAATCTTCAATTCGTGGAAATGGATTGTGTGTCAAAGCTAATACGGTAAATCGACCTATCGACTGACTCTCGTGAAATTCGTGCATTCCACTCGTGGCTTCTCTTCTGATCCTTTATCACGAGTTTCCTACTCCTACGATAGATTATGCATCTCTCATGTATCATTAAAATTTTAAATATTAGCTAAAGCTAAGAGTTTTCGCATCGAAAGATAGCGGGAACAAAAAATCCATGTGTGATCATACCATATAATATACTTCATGTTAAAAGTAATTATTTCATTCCAAGATTTTCTGAATATTTACGTGAGAAAAATAATGTATTAACATAGTTAATAACAGTCCAATTGAAAATAATCTCGTTAATTAAATAATAATAATAAAACAAATACTAATGGATTTAATTCTAATACAATATTATTGGTTTCATTAGCATTGTTATTAAATTAATGAGATTATTTTTAAGTAGTCTGCTGTTTCAAGTAGTATGCAATATTACTTTTGTCTTATATATGTAAATATGAGATTTATTATGTTAAATCATGTTTTAAAATTTATATTTCTAAAATATCTCGTTTTCTAGGTAATCAGACATACAAATTTGCAAAGCTAAATTATATTAACACACAAAAAAATAAATACGATGAAAATACTTTAACAAAGACTGTTTCTCACTCAATTCTTATATAAGATTGTATTATATAATATTATATTATGTTATATTATATAATTATATAATGCAATTAATACACTATATTATTATATAATATCATATATTTTATTTATATATTATACATATTTTATATATTTTTTATTTTATTATTTATACTTTGCTACACTTTTATCAGAAATGTTTTATTAAACTCTCAAGTAAGATAATTCTCAAAAAATTCAATTTCTACATAATTATTCTTTATTTAACAGATTTTTAGTTTACTAATTGATCTTCTCATAAGCTTGACAAAAAAAATCTTTAATCAGACATACCCAGGATTGCTTCTTATCCATAATCGACGCATCATAATCGACGTATCATGTGCATCTCAACTCTATCCTGCAATCATATCACGAATCATCTGGCATTGCCCTTCAACTCCATTAAATGAATCTGCGACATCTACAATAAATATAATTATATATAAATTGCTTATAACTTAATTTATTAGTTATCAATATTATCAGCTACACCATATTCATCTTTAAACCTTTTCGGTATGGCATATCAAGATTTCTTTTTCCAATACTTTTTCCACATTGCTTATAATTTTTTCATTTTTGACATTTTATATTAATAAAAATGCATCCTGGGAAAAAATGTTACATATATGGTTATATTTAATATATAATTATATATATAAAACATTTTTTCTCGGGATATTATTTGCTTGGTATCGTTGTTTCTTAATATATAGCGTTTTAAATAAAATAATTTTTTTACAATATGTTTATTTTCATGAAAGTTATAAAAAATGTAATTGGATTGAGTATGTCTAGATATTATATCTAATGAATATTATTTCCATAGTGTAGCATTTAAGAATTAAGAAAAAGGAGGCAGAAATAAAATTAATGACAGTTTCAAGCTTCATATTTTGACTGGAAGGTAACGAAAGCGTACAAAGCAACTCAGCTCCGCACTTCAGTCCCTAATTACAATTCGCACGTATATACATACTTGAATTAATTCGTCTGTTCGACAGGCCGGCCGACACTTTTAATACCCGATTGCACAATGCGCGGTGTAGCGAGAAAACGATATATAAAGGTGTGCACGCGACGATTAACCGATTATGTTATTGACGGAACGTGTCAAACGCACGATGCGAACCAATGGACATACAACGAACACGGCAATGTTTGGCACAAATGGCGGCGGCGGTTTACTCGCGTTACCTGTTGTCGCGCGCGCCGATTAACCGCTTTTAGGACGACCTTTAGCATTACTCGGTACTTTATTCGGCACTTCAGTCAACACTCCCGACGTTTATTCGTACGCGAGACCACTTTTTCACGCGGAAATCACCGAAACTCGCGTAGCAACAACGATGCAAAACGCGCAAAACAAAATGGCGGTGATAACTTTGGCGGCCGCGGCCGCGCATGCGCAGTTCATCCCTTTTTGGCGCGCTCGTTAGCCCGGATCCTCATACGAGCAACGACACCGAACGCTGATTGGTCAAAAACGGGCGGTGGGAGTAAATTTTACCCCCACAACCGACTTTTCGAACTGCGTTCGGAAACTATTCACCTGAGTGCCTAGTACGTCCCCAAATAAAACAAATGACGATAACGTCGGAATTAACATTAAAATGAATCGGAAATGATTGAAAAATAACTTTTAATGATTATTTTAAAGTCATTTTGACATCATTTTGATATCATAGTAACTTATTGGGTTATTCTATTTTTAATATTTTTGTCGTTCATTCCCAGTGAGAAATGACGATAAAATCGATGTTAAATCGATATCAATTCGACGTTGATTTGATGATTCCGCTGTTGAATCGATGTCGATTCGACGTCGATTCCATGCATATTATCACTTTTCATTGGATTACGTGAAATAAGGATAAAATGATACATTTTGAAAACTCAGATGAAGCTTTCGAATGAAGCCTTATCCCTGGTTTCCATACATATACGTTGCCATGCATGATTGTATGGTTAGTATTTATTGTCAGTTTTATTTTTAAAAATCTTATGTCTCACGATGCTAATTTCTTACGGCTTTGTCTTGCGACCGTATATTGTAAAACAAGCGTTAGGGGGCCAAAGCACTTTCTGTAACTGTAAGACATACCGTAAGAATTAGCCAATCACAGTCAAGAATTGTCAAAAATCTTCGTCTCTGATTGAATAATTCTTACCACTACTATTATAGAAAGTGTGTGCGGCAGCCTTTTAGAGCAAAGATTATGACATCAGCTGATTAATCGCAATTAGCGATTTTCCTTTTTGTATCGTTACAACTCGTTATTCAGGACATTTGGTGAAATGTCATATCGCCTGACGTTCCATTTCGCGATCATTTGCACAAAAGCTCACTTTTGACGAGCGGTAAACGCGAAATATGTGCGTTCATTGAGGCAATATTTCTCCTGTATTTTACGAACAAAGCCGCTCTGGGCACAATAATTCGTGTTGGAATTCGCGATAAAATTCTATTTGTAGTTTTATTAGCCGTATAATAAACGAAAAATGAGTTAAAGAGAGTTAGAATATGAAATATTATATTAATATATACAAGCAAACTTGATAAATTGTTTATCACAAAAATTACGAATAGCATTGTATCTCAAAATGTGACAAAATTAAAGATTGTCTGAAGTTGATATTAAAATGCAATATTAAATATAATTATAATATGGCATGGACAAAAAATATGAGGGATATATGGAAATTAATAAAGATACAAAAGGCTAGTATAATAAAGAGACTCGTTCCTATAGATAGGAGATAGGATAGAATCCAATCATAATTTAAGTGCATTAAATCTTATTAAGAAAGGTTCATATAATGATCGTATTGAAAAATAAATAAATAAAATATTTTACAGGCATATTATAAGTCAATACTTCCAAAATAAAACGCTTTAGAAATAATTTCTGGACTTTTTCCGAACATCCTTAAATAATTAATTTCTGTATAATAAAATATATATAGTTTCAGTATAATTAAATACTATGTTAGAAAGATTAGTAAAAATATTACATTAATAAAAAAATATTTTGTCGAGAGATTTCTTGATTTATTAGTACAAAGACTTTATTTAAACTGCATTGATAGAAACGGGCATAAAAAGATACATTACCTACCATCTTACAGGGTTATATTAAAACTTGTAGCCACTTAGTATGAATTCACTACTACAGATGGAGAGAGAATCAGTCTTTTTCTGACAGTGTGCGCGATCAACAGCGATAACAGCTGATCATTTATTTTGGACGGAGACAGGGCACGCGTGCATTTGGCAAAATAATAAGACGTAGTTATCAAACCATTATTGTATTTCACCAATTTTTGTCGTGAGGAATTTTCATTATAAGAACTACAAAAAGACTGAAATCAAAAGAGTAGACTTGACACTGTGGAACAAAAGAGATACAAAAAAGTCACAAAGAGATATAAAAAAATATACAGCATCGTAACTGAGCAAAGAAAAACATCGCCAGAAGCATGTCGACCTCATTGGAGAGTCTTACGATTAAGCAGCCTATTAGACGTCTGGAAATCCAGATCAATAATTTCAATGTTGCTATTCCACATCATGTAAATTTGTTAAAGCGACATAAGAACAATATTAAGAAGGTAAACATGCAGTTTTACATATCCTTAAAGTCTTTAATACGAGCAATTGAAATCTTTGCAGTATCAAGATCAGCATGATTGGGAGCAGGTACGGAAGGAACATGTAAATGTCTCTCGGATCGTCAAGCAATTGAAAGAGTTGTTGTATCAGATGGATACTCTTAGAGCACAGGTCCTCGATGTTGACATTAGTAAATTTGACAAATTGACAACAAATGCACGATCAAGCATCATGAGCGCGATCGAAGAATATCTAGGTAAAAAACATAATACAACATATTCTTTTGATTAATAAAATTCCAAGAAATTAATGTGGACACAAATGTGTTTGTTTACAGAAATGGAACTGAATTTTTCGACATCACCACCTATGTCACCTATAAACAAAGAGATCCAGCCAGATGAAATCGAACATCCACTTGACAACAGAAGTATTCAGCTGCAAGCAGAACAGGAAAATTTGCAGCGTCAACAGACATGTCTGCATGTCTGGAATCGTCTGCAGGGGGATATACAACAGTTGCACGAACTTTTTACCGAATTTAACAAAGTTGTATATGTGAGTATAATTCCACTTTATGTTACATGATATGTTTTAAAAAGATAATTAAATAAAAAGTAGGTTCTAAATTTTTTGCACATTAGCACATAGGAAGGAGGAATAAATTATATAGTTTTTATTATTTAAATACATATTTTGTAATCATATAGGATCAAAAGGAGATGGTAGATAATATGGAAGATAATATTGAAGAAACTCAAATAAACGTGAATGAAGGAGCAAAATACCTGCAAAAGGCTTCCGCATATAAAGTTGCTGCATATCCCCTAGCAGGCGCTATGATAGGCACATGTATTGGAGGACCAATAGGTTTAATAGCTGGACTGAAAATTGGAGGTCTTGCTGCTGTAGGTTGTGGCATTTTAGGTAAGTTATATGAGAATTTATATAAAATTATAAAATTGGATATTGAAATAATTATATTAATAATTATATAAGGAATAATGGTATAAAAAATAAAGATTGTGAGCAATTATTCGTGTTTAGGTTTCACAGGAGGATCATTATTAAAAAAGAAACAAATAGAATCGCGAAAACAAGAACCAGGTTTAAATAATTCGACAATAGATCTCACAAGTGTTAAGAAATCTGCTTCTTGTCCTGACGATTTAAAACAAGATAAAAAACATTTATGACAAACAATGACTTTTTCGGCATGTGATATCAATTTTAAACATAAAACAAAATGCACTATTATATAATTGCAAATTGCTAAGATATTTATACATTTTTTATTTTTGTGGACATATTTTTTGTACATATTTTAAATGCTATATGAGTTTTGTAAAGTTATGTAGTTTTAAAAATTCTATGAAGGGGGAGATTTTTTAGTTTTTATGACGTAGTGTTTGTAACGCTCTATGCTTAAAGAAACAATGACTAGTCGTGTTCGAACTGTAAATTTTTAAAAATATATCTAATCTATTTATAGTCTACTAATATGTATTATATAAGATGATTGTACTTTTTCATAGAACTTAAATATATGCATGGCTTAAAATTAGATTAAACACAAGAGAATATCTCTTTTATAGAATAATGACTTTTACATGCCTTTCGCGTGCCTTGTAACTGCTTCAAATCATTAAGATTTTAGCATATACTTTTTAAACTTTGCAGCCGCTTATAATTGTTTTTCTCGAATTAATATGACGATCATATTCGAAAATAAAACTTAACAAATGCACAATTAATAAAAATAAACTTTATATATTTTGCACCTCAATGTAAATGTTTTAGAAGATATTGTTTTTCACATTTCAATTAAAAAATGTATGTTACATAAGATATAAAAACGCCTTGCATTGATCATACTACAATTATTAAATTATTTATAGCAATTTTACTACGTGCAAAAACTAAATAAATGCCAAAATGGCGATTGTAATAATCATTCGAAACATATGAAACATCAAAATATTTATTCCGGCAAATAATTACATACTGGAAATGGTAGACATACGTGGTAGATAATACGGTGTGATAACGTTCACAAAAACATTTGAGTTCTCTACAAAAGGCACCCAATACAGTATATTTAGCAAGTAATAAAATACATCGGTGTTAGACACAGTACAATACTGAAATAATCGTGTGTTATTAAATGTAATATATACATGTCATTTATAATGGAAATACTTAATCTAGAGAGACTAAAATGTTCTACTTAAAAAAATATTAATAAATATCTAAGAAAGTGTAATATTAAGTGACTATCGGCATATTTTCTTATAAGGTACTATTTTGTTATTATTGTTACTCCACATCCCTAATTCAAAAGCAACACCAAACACGCATTCACAGACATGTGGAAAATAGAGATTGTTTACTTTCTTTCGCTTAGTTTTACTTTCGAAGCTCGGGATGCTCAGCCAGGTGCACCGATGTACGTATGGTATGGCATACTAATGTTATAATTTAAATTCAGGTAAACATAATTACGTTTGATTGAAAATCATTATAAATTGTGATTAAATTCGTAATAAAATAGGGTGCATCGGACTGTGCCAAATTCTTTGTAATACTCTATGATCTACATCTACACTTCTAAATACTTGCGACTTTTGTCCTTAAAACAAGTATGAAATAAACAGTTTGGTCATTATCCATAAGGTACTTACAGTACCTTGACAGACCTTGGCAATAAAGATGGCTAAATAATCGACTTATTTGGAAGCAAATGTAACAATGCAGAATCACATATTGGCAAACAGCTATTATTTCACTCATATGTATTAGTGTTAAAAACCGTCTAAAAATTCATGAAATTGATTTTAATTTTTCCATTCCTCAAATATTATCTTTTACAATTGCTTAATTGGAAATTTTACAGTTTTTTAATAGTAATATTAATATTTAATTATTATATCTACAATAAATATTTTCGATTAGCTGTTAAGTAAGAAGATATGAGCGATTCTGCATAGTCGAAACAATGATTGATTTATAAAAGAAAACAGAACATATAGTGTGGATTGTCTTAAGACAAGCTTACCATTTCAATTGATCCTAAGCTGTTCCAAAACATTTATCCACACATGTATATAAAAACAAATTTATTTCTTAAACATAATAGTATTTCATAAAAAGAAATTTGGCTTTTTCGAGTACAGGCCAGAGTTAGATTTACATCTACGACGGGTGATAAAAGGTTTTACAAATGACTCTGACATAAAAAGAATATAATATTATATTAATATATATATATTTGATATATAATCTGGAAATAATATATAAACTATCGGTTATATTATTTGCGGCTACATTGTATAAACCTTTGATATTACATTATATTACAAATTGGTATGTATGTGTGCGCATTGATTTGACATTCCTGAATATATAATCCATAATCAACTTATTAGATGCATCTCCTCGAAAGATAACATCGATATAATATGGATAATTATTAAGGAAAATATATTTTTTCTTCAATTTCTGTATGCATTGCGTTTTTAAGATGATCATATATTTTCCTTAATGTAATATAAAGATAAGCGCGAACACAATGTGGAATTGAAATATTACTATTTATTAACTATAATATAAATAAATGTATAAAACTCTCTCTTCTCTCTTTCTCTCTCTCATTTTCTCTATCTCTCTCTCGCTCTGTTATAAGTCATCGGAAATTCCATGAAATTTTCCGCCGCTGTAATCAGGAATGCCAATGTAAATGAGGATGGCGACAAGTGCATATCGTTTATGGTACTGTAGCATACCTCGACATGTGAGCGTACATTTGATAGAACACGTTTGTCTCATCTTGAGCACGTTGATAAAATCAATAGACGGAATAAGAAAATACACGTTATCATTACTTCAGAAACCGGTTATTAGTAAGCTTCATAAGTAATAGCTTTACAATCTCATAGATTTGGATATTTCGAAGCGTATCAAAAGATAGATTCACAGACGGATTCACTTGAAAGTTAAAAATGTTAAAATTCGGTATACCACATCTCCGCGACTTTAAGATAAAGATCTACGTTTATGTAATGCGATTACAAGTTCGTAGCTGGGCACACGTGTTAAGCGTAATGCAGCGACCTGCCGAATTGCATGCAACTTTATATTTTTCCCATTACATTATTAAACTATAGTTGCTCAAGGATACAATGTATTCTAGTGCTACAGTACGCGTGCGACGATGTTACCTCATTATACTTATCTAAATATGCCACGATAATGTATTACGTCTTTGTAATCGTAACAAAAACTTGCAAGTGAATCAATGATAGACTCGTTTTTTTTCCTCGTGTCGAACAAAGTTCATAGATTAATAGACATGTCTTGGTCATAAGATGTGAGATTCGTATCCGTCGAGGAAGCAGGGGTAACTGTTGCCGCTGTTGCGCTGGTTGGTGACTGCAGTGGGGTAGAAGTTGTAGGTAGATGCGACGTAGGACTTTCCAGGGTTGAATTCCAATGACTTCTTTCAGTGCCATCACCTCCATCATCCGATACGATTGAGATATCGGCGATAATACCACTTTCTACAATGAGAATATTGACTTAATAAATTAATATCGATATCAAATTTTTTTGAAAGATTACCGAGACCAAACGTGGTGCTCACCTACGCTACACTGGCTGTTCAATGTAGTACTACGATGATGCGGTCGTGGACTCGTATCTAACCCAAGATTAAGTGTCGTAGGAGGACCACTGCTTCCACCACTGCTCGAGGACGAACTGACGGAAATTACGCTGTGCGGCCTTCTGCTGCAACGACTGGAGTCCTCCGTCATTGACACTGCTATAGAGTTTCTAAATCTAGGTGCTGTACAGACAAATTAAAATATTTGTTTCAACATTCATAATAGTGATATAAACCAATAATTTTCGACAATTCATAAATTGTACTCACTCTTAGAGAGTTGAGCCACACTGATGGAGCGATCATTTATCTGATCTGCACTAGGCCTTATATCTAAACACGGCTTATTCCCAATGCCCATGCTCGACATCTCCGCCAGGCGCACTTCTAAAAAGTGAAACATTATCGATAGTAATTTGCGCTCTTCCAAATATGTATCATACACTTTTTTTATAAACGTAGCAAAAATGGCGAATCACCTCTGTTTCGAAGCGCCTGCTTCCACAGGAGGTTGCTCAGTTCCTCAGTCCAGGCTTTTTTAATATCTTCACTCGCGCATTGTAACGTGTATGTATCTCCTGGTTTCCTCTTGCGGAACCAAATTTCGAATTTTGTAGGCGAATCTGCGATAACGGCGGTTAAACCGATATCTGTCGTTTTAATGCTATGTTTATAGATGTAAATATCAAGATTCTGAAAACAATATAAGTAATGAAATAAAACAAAAATATAGCATTAAAATATACACGCAGCAACATGTGAAAAATGTTACCTTCCTATCGGGGAATCTTCTTGCCTTACTAAAGAGTATAAGATCTTCGAACAGGAATACTTGACGCAGGCATTTTTTGCCTTTTCCTTGCCAAACTAAAAATTCGTTTTGCCGCAACAGCCTGCCTTGTTCTTTTACATTTACCTATGAAATAATATCACATCTTTTATATTGTACAATATAATTGAATAAATTATTATAATCCTCACTTATTTACTAAAGTGGATATCTATCAATTCTACTTTATTACTTTAAACATAACAAAATGAAACTTACGTCACAATCACGAAGTGAATCCATTGCCAAAAGATCGTTCCCATGTCGCAGCTGAAATCGTACCATCTGCTCGGCAGCCCTCAAATCCGCTTCACCTTCAACCATCGGTTTCATACCATCTTCCTTTTCTTCCTTCTCCTCTTTGCCAGACAATTGTTCCGATAAATCTGTGCCGGCTTTGACCAGCTGCTGAAGCAGCAAGGCATATTTTCCCATTCGCTGAACCGGCTTCAATAAATAGCTAGCTAAGTCCATTTTATCTCCCAATTCTAATTGTTTCTGTTTGAAGAAACTCGTGCCGTATTCTGCCATTAGCGAATCAGAATTTGGTTTATTTTTATTGTACAAGGCGTAAAGATAAAATTTCTTCTCCTGCAAGAAAGTTATTTTCACGTGGCATTTACTCTTTTATGTCTATGATTTATTAAGAAAGATATAATGTGATATAGATTATGCTTACGTGTCGGAGGAAGCATTGTCCCACCAGCATGGGCGATTGCTCGCACTGCTCTAGTTCGCGTAGAAAGTGTTGA